TGGCATCATGTTTGGAAATGGCTGATGTACCTTATTCGCTTCGTTACTGACACTCCCATGCCGGTTTCTTGAACTATCCGGCATTTTCTTCCATGTTTATGTCTTCGGTCGTTCGTTTTACCTGTTACTACTGTTTGTCACAACTTTCTTTCAATGTATATGTATCTAGTGAGGATTGCCATTTTTGCGTTCCATTTGTGTTCCTCATTTGTTTTTGTCAAGAATTTTTCTTCTGTCATTTTAGCAATCCACGGTATTTTCAAAGCCATCCTCAGAAAAACGCTTTTGGCTGACCTCTAGCAGTGTTTCTAGTGTTTCTACAGTAATACATTTTAACATTGTAGCCACCAACGGAAGTTTCAAGTATGCTTGCCGAACGTCTTTTCTTAAAATCTCACGTTCAAGCAAGAAGAAATTTAGTGCCCGCAATCATTAATAATATCTGCGTATTTCGCCTTGTCGAATGATGTTTACTGCACATGACATAACCGTGTAAGAATATTAAAACGAAAGCAGTATACGTATATTACATATTTACAATGATATATTTCAGAAATGATCTCTGCAACGAACAAGTTTTGGCAGTACTCCGTAAAAAAATTTGGATTAATCGCATCTCTGCAAAATCCCATTCTACCTATGTGTTTAACTTGTCAAATGAAAGTATGCGACCACGTAAACTGGAAAATCATTTGGAAAGTATTGATAAGGGCGAAAGCAGAAAGTCTGTGGATATTTTTAGGAAGCTGTGGGATAGCTTCTGAAATATAACAATTTTAAAGACAATCGTTTCTGGCAGGGTAAGAATGGCAAATGGACTTAAGGCGACTTATGAAATCAGCAAATTGATTGCTGAAAATTGCGATCCACGTAATGTTGGAGGAAATGTCATCTTGCTTCAGTATCAAGAATACTGTCTGACCTGATGTATATGAATACTGAATACTGAATACTATATTCTAGAGCAAGTAGAAATGAATTATGTACAACTCTTTTGAAATATGGTGAAAAACCCTATAAAAATTGTCAGCCGTTCATATCGTTATCGTTCTCATACAACATTTAAAATAATTGACTCACGGTATTGCAGGACTCACAAATGTGACATGTCACCGTAATTGTGCAGTCGTTCTCTGAATCGAATAGTGGTATAATATAAATCTGACAACGTTTTGAACTGTTGCACAGATATTATCTCCATCACATGTTCTGGCAAACTGTTCCAAATGTTTACCACTCTCCTTTCGAAGCACAGTGGGTGGGAAACACATTTCATATCCGGCACGACAAGTTTGCATCTGTGTCCGCGTGTGCTGCATGACCCTCGTAAGTGCAGCATTGGCCGAAGCATGGGGAAGTCACCGAGACGTAGAATACGGTAGGTTATATTGAGGTCGACTCGCACCCGACGCTAGGACAAGGTGAAGAGTCCTAGTTTTTCGCACCGGTCTTCATACCCCAAGCCACATAAACTCGGGATGAGCCTGGTAGCAGCGTGTTGGGCCCGTTCGATCTTTTGTGCCTCGCCTCGGGTAGTTGGAAAGTAGGTGGGCGAACCGCACTCTAGCATTCGTCTAATGATGGAATAGGCGAGTGGCAACCTCTTCAGACCATGTGCCGAAGCTACGTTTGAGCGCCTAAAGCATTCGCAGTCCGTTACGATATAGCCTGTTAGTGTTGTCCACGGACTTTAAATCGTAGCGTAAGAGTACACCTAGGTCTTTCACGGAGGATGTGGGATATAGCGTTTGGCCGTCAAGGGTGTAGGTTCGGCCGTCATCACCCTTCCCCAGGCTCATAAATACAGACTTGGCTGGATTGACCGGGAGAAGAACTTCTGCAGACCATGTGGATAAGCGGTTGAGGTCTTGCTGAAGTAGGCCCCATTTATCGGGAGCGTCGTTTCCTCTCCAAATCTTCATGTCGTCCGCAAACAAGGCACACGGCGACCGGGGAAGCTGAGCCATGTTTCATCAACAAAGCCTGCCTGCACTCCTTCAACATGTACAGCGGCAACATTCCAGTCAGGCTGATTGAGGAAACATGTTTTCCAGATGTACACCAGGCGGTGGCTGGGCCCTAGTCCGAACCACACTGGATGCATGGAACCCATGAATCTAGCACGATTAAGAGGACCACGCATGCCGCCAAGCAACAAACCTTAACAGTCTCCTGGAGCCAATCAATAATCGAGGTGGAGGGTATTAGCCAGGTAGGCACTTTGTCAACATTCACCTCAAACACAACTATACCAAGGATATCAAACAGCAAACACACAATATGCAAGCAAATAAACACGCGAACAGGATAGTAAATGTATGACATTATAACGGAATCGATAAATAACAGCGTATTAAGCCTAGTCTAGTGTAAGGATGATCTTAGATAATTGTAAGTTAGAGAATAGCAACCGCTGAACACCGAATACGATAGAAAAAACGCGCAAAATAGGCAGAGAATATGCAGGGGATTAACAGAACAGAACATAGAAAATCAAGTGGATTCTCTCAGGTCTAGTGACATCCAGAACGAGCGTAAGTGTAATTCTCCGTAGCCTACCTGCAGCGAAGAAGCAACATCAACCTCAGCAGGGGGTCCGATAAATAAATATGTGAATAACTATATTGGCATACTTTCCAATGTTGCTGTGCTGTAGCGGCTATGGAAGAAATGTTGTTGGTGTGTATTTCGGTGATCCAATTTCACTCCCGTCTGATACCAGCTCCAAGGTTTAAGGTTTCGTACCAAGCTGCGACTATCGAAACCGGGAGAATCCGGATAACAGTGATGCCGCTAGCGGCATACACCTTTAAGAGCGATGCGTATCTTGAATACAACAACTGTGTACATTGTCACATAGTCGCAAAGTGTTCACACCCCACGACCACATTGAGAATGCAATTCACGAGACGGCACAGCATTGTATACGTGAGAATGGCTGGCAGCATCCGGTTTCGGATTTACCTGTCACTGTGCTCAGCCACAGGACGCCTGCGCCTACAGAGGGACCATGGATGGCTTATGCTGCACCACCCACAGCTCCAACCACACACCCCATATCCAGTGTAAACCCGAAGGAATAAGACGGGGAGGCATGTGGATGGTAACCACGTTTCATCAACGGAGCCGGCCCACACTCCTTCACAGGCAAACACAAGCAAGCTGTAGTTGGGGAATCAAGCGCACACAAGGCGGTGGCTGGATCGTAGTCCGCTCCACACTGAGTGTATGGAACCACTCTTTGAACTTAGCACGACCACAAAGACCGTGCATCCCCTCCCCTCTAGCAACGACCAATTGTCTCCTTGAGCCAGTATGGACGAGGTAGTGGGTAATAGACAGGTAGGCACCTTGTCAACATGCACATCACGCGCAGTCACCCCGGTTAAAGTATACGGCTATGCCGACATAACTCTTCACTAAATTAGCATATAATGCAACTTGGTTAGCCACGAATCCGCGATAAGTACAAACTGTCCACAAATCATTTAAAAAGTGACACACGCGATGAAGTTAAAGAAGATAACCACAAATAGCATAAGTAACGTGTGCAACTTAATAGAAGATAATTCAGGTGGACAGAACAAACCAAATGAATTGGAATGAAATGTATCTAGCTAGTTTAGATAAACGTTGATTTAGCCCAACTTCGTTGAAGAAGCATCACGAAAGCAACATCAGCCTCGGCATGGGGCACATACTTGGGAATACCGCCACACTTGAATACGGTACAAATAATGGCGGAAGCAAAGCACTAAAACGCATCAGAGCCAACCAAAAGCAAAGAAGAAGCGAAATGATCCACCTAAATAAGAACTGTTAAAAGTACTAACCAATCATTTATGTCCGCGAAAACGGCATTAGCGGAAAATAGACTCTTAGAGGACATCCATTAGGATCAAGTAAAGAAATGAGTCGTTAAAACAAATGTCAAAAGGTGAAACGCAGTAGCACTGCAAATCGGTCATTTGGAAGTGTCACAAAAATGTGTTATTTGGGCATGCTTCTAACATATCTATTCCCAATACTTGGAACAACCGAATTTAGTTTTAACATAAATCGAAGTGCAACCATAGATCTTACGTTACCATCCTACCAATGAGGAACGAATAAGCATAGCTTTATGGATTAATATGGGTTTAATCATATCCGTTTGTCAGCACTTTAAAGACAATATGTACGCAACCTAATGTTTCTATTAAGAGCATGATCACCACCTGAGCTTACCCCGTTTGTGTCTGTAGACCGAAAAGCAGAAAATTGCTGCTCTTAACAGAGGAACTCCCATTTAGACATCCATGGTTGGATCCTGTAGTGGGGAATTCGCATCACCTTGTCAAAGCAGCGGTGTAGTGCGAACTCGTCTAGGAGAGCGATATCGGCAATAACTGCACACGATTTGAGCTCCAACGTTCTCACACCCTGGAACAACTGTTAGGAGTGTCGCTTGAAACTAAAATACTACCAGCAGTGCGCCAGCACATCGTCCAGGTGCTTCGTTATCACGCGGACACTACCAGTTGCGCAAGGACTGGGTATGTCCGAGGTCACCCGCATCTGCACGGATTCGAACCGAAGACCACAGGGTTACGGCGCGAGTGCGCTATTCTTCCCGACTGCCGCAGTGCTAAGGCCTACTACAGAAATCTGGTAAAATTGACCGGTAAACTAGTTTCCGAACAGCAGATTGCATCTGTACTGTTCTGTATTCAGTTATCTTAGGCCATTAGCTTTGTTTGTACCCTGTACTCAGGGCGTAGGCGCCCAGGATTCAAAATATCACTCGTTATATAACGACTTCTCATACTAGTTTTGCTTGTTATGAAAGAGTAGAGTTCTGCAAAGCACACCTTTATAGCAATGATTAAACATGGATGATGCAAAAACTTGGAGGGTTTCATGAAGCGAACTTCCTAATATTTGGATCCACTTACCACCTATTAACAAGTACCTAGTAACGTTAGCTAATATACTAACCGTATTGGTCCTTGTTCGTACAGCACCAGTCCACCAACGTCGAATCGGAACCCGTCGAAGCGCCGACTCCACTTTTTGTCCTGGAATTTATATTAGAGCCGAATAATTTATACATGATTCCAGATGAACACCTCTTTCGTGACGGTATACTGGAAATTATCAGCAAATTTCAGGTGAGTTAACTAAGTTTCATCTCATTGGTTTATTTTGCCTCTTCCATACAGATAGGATTTTTATGCAAACTCCGTACGAATTTCTATGAGTTACATAAATCTTCTCTGCAATATGATTAAAACACAAGATCTAAAATGTGATACAGACTAATGTGAAAAGAGTTCCAGGTTCACGGATCACGTATCACGCGCATGTGTCTTCGTTACAACTTACTCGAAATTTAATTCGATACAATCCTTAGCATTTCTATTTCCCTAACTATTGAAAGCTAATGCGGGCGGCAAGACCCAGCACTGCGCTCAAGTTTACCTCTCCCGTCAACCAGGAAGTTACATACGGCATACCTTTGTACAGCGACCCAAAAGCAGCTGCAGCTGGTTTGGCTGACGTTGCTATGGTAGTAAGTTGCAAAGCCGAACCTGCTCCCCTGGACTAGTTTCCGGTTAAAAGCTGACTATGTGCGGTTCGGATTTAGACCTCATGCAGAGTTAACAGGCATCACACTAAAAGGCGCAATCTGAATGTGGTATTCGCTTACGCGTCGGCCGATTACAGCTGTGACTCCATCGAGGACGATTTATATCATTAAATCCATCAGCTGTTGCCTAAATCCACCGAAATGCACACATTTGTCCTTGAAGACGACTTCAATGCAAGAATTGTTCGCTTGTTACCAGGTGAATATCTCCTGGGTGGTTATAACGAGCTTATCAAGAATCGTTTGGATGACGGAAACAGGATTAGAAATAGGCAATGCCCTTTATAATACCAAACAGAAATATCAATAGACCTAAAATGTATGATGACTCAGTCATTTCGTGCAAGCTCGTCAGTCACATTCACGCACGAAGTACATCTACATCAAATCAATAGCTAGCCAATCCTAGGCGAACCGCCACGCCTCACGCAACCACGATAAGTTCAGATGCACCGTCAGCTGTTTCTGCCCGCAAAGCAGTGGCCATTCTCGATGGATGACAATGCCTCCTAATAGTCTGAGAATGTGGGGCCTCTGGTTGCTCATGTCCACAAGACCTCTGCTTATGTGATCCATCAAACCACCGATAACGGGGCAGTGCATTGCGTACACAAATTCACCTGTAGCTGCGGAGGCAGCTATGTCGGGCACGCTGACCGAAGTTTGGGTGTTAGGATCAATGAACACATTCCCAGGTGGTTACGCGGTCGTATGGCATCGGCGACGGCGGAATCAGGTGAACTGAAAAACCGAGCTGTTTCGGCAGTCCCAAAGCATTTACTGAGTAGCGGTCGCCGGGTCAATCCTGATAGGTCATTCACCGTCCTGATACGCAATCAGCGGTCCCACCTACTCAGGTTGTTTGGAGCCATTGTCCTCTATCGATAACGGCCACTGGTTTGCGTGCATAAATAACTGACTGCGAATTTGAACTTGCCGTGGTAAGTGGAGGTGCAACCATTGACCAAAGAATGGCAAGCTATTGATCTCATATTGACACATATTGCATATTTGACTTTTGCCTACGAGATGCCACACAAAAATTCTGTAAACACTGGGAAAGCCAGACACGAAACCAAACGACCAGAGAGCTCACCACCGTAAGTCATGCACCAGTTTCTGCTAATTCAGCTGCCTCTAGATATTTGTGGACAAAGGTCGTGGGGGCTCTAAAATGACAAGTGGTCCCGTTCAATGCTTTTGCACTTCGCAGTTACGACGTTAATACCATGGAGGTCTTTACCGTGTGTTGACTGCACCTGCATAGCGAACGGCAAGCCGCAACGCGATGTTGCCTAAAGAATCAAGGATAGGAGAGGTAGCAAATAGTTTAGTATTTCTATCACGCACACCCACACCCCCATGTATTTCCGCATGCACACATGTGCGCACTGTGCAGTCGGCCAAGGTAACACCTGTGTGACCAGCGGAAGATTCATCATGATTTTTTGGGGTGAATCGTAAAGCCATAAGCTTTTCACGCCTCCTCCTTGGTCTCCCTATGTGCACGCAAAAGCCCGTTCCATCTTACTCAAATAAAGGCGAGCCAAATAAAAGACCAAGGCTTGACACACCGGTTAGTGTTATTATCTTGGTTTTGCCGTGAGGCGGGCCTGAGGGACTCAGTGTTCCGTCATACAGAGAAAACCAGATGGCTTCTAGCAGACTTCTTACGAATAACCGCTGCGGATAGCTTCTATCCGTGAACGCAAATGAAACTGCACTGATTCGTTTAAACGTTATTTTTGGGCCTGTTTTATTCCCTTTGGTAACTTGATGTGTGAAGAATGCACGATGAACCTGACGGTTTAACCTTTACTACCTCGTCTGTATTTAACGAGGCCGCTTGTTTTATGTACGTTGAAACCGGGTGGCACTTTGATTTTGTGATGCTATTGAATACACGCGTCTCCGTCCGGTTCGTTCGTTTTGGTATTCCTCTCCTCGAAACATCCTCGTTACACATGTTTATCGTCTCGCAGCAGTTGACACGTTTATAATTCGGTCGCTGGGATTGGCATACTACTCGTTTATAGTCCGGATTCCTCGTCTGTACCTCGAATCTGCCCTACTGCATCTAGTACATCTGACTTCCTTACCATACTTACAGAGGTGCGTGTACGCCCAACCGTTGGAAAATCAGTCTAACACCTAAGTTGTTAAATGCATGTTTAGAAGTTTTCACAAAATTTACCTTTATGGTCACTCACGCTGAACCTTAGCTTTCTTGTGATCTTTTCCTATTCTCCCGAACTTAGGAACAAGTCTTCAATATCAAAAACCTATTACCAGATCCGTATTTTGATGCATTTACAAGACCAGTTATCAATAATAAAATGGAAGAGAAGACTTGTGGAAATGGACCACAGCTGCAGAATATGTTTGCAGAAGACACCGGTCTCAAAGAAATAATAGAGAATGTAAAAATGTCCCTCTCCCGTGCTTTTGAGGCAGTTACCGCATACATGAACACATTCAGGGAGATTCATGAGTTCTATCACGAGAACGAGATGATCACACTGGAATCAACGCGGGCTGCTCGGAATGGTACGTAGCAACTGTAAACTTTGATAATCCCCAATACTGTCTAGTCATTTCCCCTACAGGATCTAAAGTACAAACGCTCAAGGTGGTTGATACCTCATGACAAGAGGAGCGTCACAACTCTGTCCCACAGCGGAAGGCTATCATAGTGGGATGCTTTCACTGACGCGGGTCATGACAATCCCTGTGTTCTCTGAAAAGCCATAGTCACCGAGCGACACACATGAGACATTAAATAGCAACTCCTCACTGCTTCCGATGTGTTTGTTGTAAAGGAATGTAAAGCAGGGAAATGTGGACTATTTCCGCGCACTTTTATTGCATAACCAGATCCAGTCTTGCAGTAAGAATAGCCATGATAGCACCTTTCCTGATGGTTTCCATCTTTGTCTCTTAATTGTTCTGAGCAAAGAAGCGCATCAACTTGGACGTAACCGGCCCATTTGAAACGGAGAAAGTGCGTTCATATCCACGTAAGAACGTCTTGACACTTCTCTCCCAGTTATCATGATTATCGTCCTAACTCGCCGTAAAACGCCGCTCCAATCGTAAACTGATTCCCTTGGCCTTACAAATCTTTCGCGTGAAAAGCGAAACCTTGCCCAACAATTACATCAACCGATTGTTTCTAACGCCCTCTGAACTCATGACTTCACGATTGCTTCCTAGAATCATCCAAAATTTTAAAATAACCCCTCCTTTGGAGACGGAGCGTGTTCCACATACAAGTTAAGTTGATCAACCAGAGCGCAGCGGTTCGACCAATGAAAACGATCCGCTGCTTCGAACCACCCTACCACAGTCCTGCTTTGCACCTCCGGCATTATAACCATAACTGCAAACGTAGTGATACGAAAGGAATGCGGCACTTTGAAACGATTAAACGTTTCCCTACGGAACATATAATACTATAATATTATTGACAAGTTACCACTTTCTTTCCACACCGATACTTTTGGAACTACGATTGTGTTACCGGGAAAGTTAGTCACTTGTGGGAGAACGCAATAGGAAGTAGTGGAGACCGTGAGCCGAATCAGTTTGTGTGTGTGGTGTGTCTTGGATACTCGTCGGTAACAATGACGCGTAAGAGATGTGCCAAATACAGTACAGTAGAGAAGATGAAGGCAGTTGGACCCAACATATATTGAACAGGGCATAAGAAACGGAGAGTGAATCAGCAAGGGCAAAGAATGTGCATCGCGGAACTCACTACAGCAAAAGTGTAGGCGGATGTACACGCAGTTAAACAAGTTGACAGTGAAAAGGCGCAAACAACAATAAAATCCGAGGTTACGGATTACTGAAGTGTATGTTTTCGAGTTCACTACAAGAACCTCCCCCTAAAAGGTTGATAACTGGAAGCCTACGATAGAGCTACCAGGGCGGAGAGGGGAGGTGAGGATGGGTGCGAATAGTAACATAGATTGAACTTGGCTTTCCAAAATGGGTTGCGTTGCAGAGTTCACTGGGTCCAAACTTCTTTGCTATTTATTATTTATTATTTGCGCGTGGACCGGTGTGCACCGTCGGATTGGGCTCGTCGGATTGCAAAATTTGGCTAGTTCAGAAAAATGGACAACAGGACATTACCTCCGCTGCAGACTCGACAGTGTCCCTGGTAAAGGTTAGTGCCTCATACCGCACCCCAGCTCACGGCCAAAACGGTACTTGGACCAAGAAGAAGTCGGGCGTCTTCTTCGGCATCATACAGCCAAGCCACTGTGGACCAATCCGGTTGTATACTTCCACGGTCAAGGATGAATGGTTGTCGCTAGGAGCAGGTAATTAAATGAAATTGGAGTTTAGAAGCCCTTAATCGCCTGTACCTCATCAGGAAGTACTTCTATACCCGACGATGAAACGATATGGCCTAGCAATTCTACCGTTGATCTGCCGAGTTCACACTTAGTCGGGTTGTCTTTGATCGTGTTGGGTCACGCGCTGGAAGAGAGAACAGAGATGATCGGGGTGCTCTTTTTCCGAAGAACTGCCTACTAAACTATCATCGAGGTAGGAATAAGCGAAGTCTAGACCAGGAGTGACATCGTGGATGAAGCGTTGGAAGGTTTGTGCAGCGTTGAAAAGTTCGAAAGGCCTTCTTATGCATGTATGTATGTAATCGCAACAGTCTAGCAACTAGAGATGGAGAAAACAATAACCATAGAGATTAGCGGATAAGGAAAACTCATCTCGCCCCAGTCATGGTGGCATAGTAGTTGAAAGTGAGCCACACACTTCAGCTACTATGCCGCAGAAAAAAGATCATTTTGACTAAAACTAAAACAATACATTTTTACTTTGTTTTTCACACGCCGATTGCTCTCTTTTTGTCATTTTCAATGTTTGAAGTATTAAAAGTGTGAAGCAGTATAACTCTATACACAATTCTTCCACTGATTCCTGTTGCGGGCCATGTCTTCAAGAGTTTTAAGTCATTGGCACTCCTCATCTTTGGGTCCCCATCCTGGAAGACGTACGGATCCAACGGCTGCTAGACACGACGTCAGTGATTTCTTGTGCTGTCGCCAAGTGAAAGTCTGACCTCCACGCGGTCGCCACCAGCCAGGTCCTTGATGAGTAAATAGAGCGCGACGCTGTAGACGCTCAGGTGCCATGCGTATGAGGTGACCGAGCCATCTCAATTGGCGCAGCAAAACTACTTTGTTGATGGGAATACTCGCATTCCCCAAGCTGCGACGTTAACTCGATCTTGCCACCAAACACGAGCAACCCTCCTTAAGCAACCGTCATTGAAGGCGGAAAGATGGCACATGTCTTCCACGCGAATCGGTCAGGACTCGCTCCCATACAACAACACGAAGCGAACAGATGCGCTGTAAACGCGACCCTTTAGCGAGGATGAGACGTCACAACGACACCACAAGTGCCTCGGATTTGGCAAATGCTGATCGGGCTTTAACGATGCAAAGTGAAACCTCTTTGCTGATAGCACCGTCAGCAGAAACAGCTCCCAAGGTGGACGAAACTATCTACCTTTTGTGTAGATTCATCAGAGTTAAACCCAGGAAGACAGCCACCACACATCCAAGAAAGCACTAGACGGCCGTTTCGTCCTATTGGGACTCGTCAGTAGCGTGCACCCGTCGAATCCTGCAGGATTCTTTCTTGAAAAGCCCAAGAGGAAGGCACTTTCTCTTCATGCCAGATTTCTACGAACATCAAGGTCAGCTGGTTACTGATTGCCAGACCGCCGTACTTGAACAGCTCCGGAGGAAGTCCGTCTGAGCCAGCAGCCTTGAACCACTTCAAGCGTCGAATCTCGAGGCAGACTTCCGTTTCGCTGGATGGGTTTAGTAGGACGAGACAGGGTGGACAACAAGGTGTACTGCATGTACTGATGGACGGTGGAGGCCAGTTGAACTGCGAGAGAAAGTGCTCGGTCCAGTTGTCCATACGCCTCTGTTGGTTGGTAATCGGACCGATGATTTACCGAAATCCAAATGATGAAAATGATGAAAGCAAGTGATGGACCTTGAGTGTCAGGTTTCGTGCGACGGAGCAATGATGCAGAGAGGCTGCGGTGTTTACGGCCTAGGGTAAGCTTCTCGACCTGGCGCTGAAACGACGCTATCCGCGATGATAAGTCGTTTATTGCCCACGGCTCGTTGGCCGCAAATGTCACTGCGGTTACGCCAGTGCTTAGCTGGATAAGTGCTCTGGGTTCAGTCACTGGTTGTTGCCGTCCGATAGCACAGTTTGCTAGATCTACAATTGCTACGAGTGGCAGGTCATTTGCTACCATAGTGTTGGGCTGAGTGTTTTCAGGGAGGCGTGGCATCCACATTTCGTTGAGAATTCTAACGTTTTTATTGGATGTGCCAATGAGCTATGGCATTTCTCGTAATATAGCTGCCGGCATCCTATCCCCTAGTTGCAGCTGCGTAGCCAGTTGCTGCAAACGGCCTCTGTCGGAAGGCTTGATTCGCCGATTAATAGTCTGTTTAACAGTCTCATGCTTCATTACAAGCGGTGGGCAAGATAGTATGTCTCTCGTCTGTGAGAATATACTGGTCATTCCCAAATATTAGCTGATTATACACAGCTTAATTTGAAGAAATTCTACGAATGTAAAAAGTCAATTCTAGATGCACAAACAACAACGAAGAATCATTCTCCCAAAATGTTACAGATTAACGCTACGGCACTAACCATATAAGAGATTGGCCTATCTCCCAGATAGTTTATTACAAAATGGGAATACAAATTTTCGGAAGAAAATAAAATGAGGACAGGTACTGAATCACAAATTAACTGGAAAGCGTTCACAAAGATAAAATACAAAATAGCGGATACTGTGTTCCAAGCCGAGGTCCCCAATTTTTGGGTGCGCTTTGGACACCATTCTATAGCGATAACACATAAGAGACGTACTAATTACGCAACGGTAAAGAGGATAGAGTCAGTTGGACACAACGTACATTATAATGATTACAAGGAATGGAGTGAGAATCAGTAAGAGTGTGAAGCAGCGTAGCGCGCGACTCATCGGAACCAAGTGTCTGGGAATGTACACTCAATAAAACAATTGGACCGTCTTAAGGCACGAACACCAGTAAAATCCAATGTGTTGTCATGCTGACCGAATGAATGTTTCAGCTTCACTAGAGAGTTTCGTTTGCATTGGCTTAGACGCAGTGCTCTGATTGGCCAACCTTCATGTGTATATGAGCGCGCTTTCTCCGTCTCAAAAGGACTGGTTATTTCCATGTTATTCAGATAGGTTAGGAGACTAACATACAACGGTACACACTGGCAAAAGTTGGCAAATTTCTATATTTTTCATCTGGAAAATTTTCGTTACAATTGCACTACCAAGGTATTGCTCTACTTGTATTAAGTGAACATTTAAGCTGTCCGGAGACCTCTGAGCCATACCAAGGTATCTTGTTTGCGGCTCACATGGTGCATCCGAAATTCCTCATAACACACCAGACCACCAATCGGAGTGGCAGCTCGAAGTAGGCTTCGATAGGAACTCATACGGTGAGGAAAGTTCGAATTGGCGACGATAAGTAACCAGGCAAAGCTGAATGAAACCATTTACAAGTAAGAGACAGACTGATTCCCGTAGACAGAATGTGGGAGCCTGTACCGGATTGCCAACCCGTTTTTGACATAGGTCGCAATGACATCCGTGTAGGTAGCCTACGTTACTCTCCTCAGGGGACTACACAACTGACACTCGTTGCCGCGCTCTAACAACGGAATCAGGCCTAAGCTACTGCATATGCAAAAACAGGAACCATGTAAGGATACATGTTGTACGGATTCGCTTAGTCCATCAAACACGTGATCTCGTCCTATTTAGTCATCACCGTGCAACTGACTTCATGCCAGTCGCATTCCTATAGGCCGTCGTCCGTAATGCGACCCACCCAAATACCTGCCTGAAGTGAAATTAATGCAACCAACTAACCCTTTACCTTATTGTGTAAGAACCTGTTAATAACGAAGCTCCTTGCTTGTCCAATTTCATATACGTAGTGCGAAGGCTATCTTGAATCACTTACCCAGACCTTTTTTACCTCACAACACAGCAATCCACGATTGTTATCGTCCTTGTTTGAGTTCCTCAGACGAAGAGAATTAAGGGAAGGGATAGGATCAATGGAGAATTTCACCAATTACAAGAATTCGTCGCCATAGTATTTAGGATTCAGTTGGCAGTGATTTAAATTACCGTCTCTGTTGTCGGATTACGGTACGCAATTTCAGTTTGGACTGTGGCGCTAATTGGCAATTAACTAAAGTCAGCTCGATTACTGGGGCCATAGCTGATGTAAACGAGCGCTCGATGCTGCTGGCTTCCCGCACCACACACCGCGACCAATTTCGTTCGCATGTGAACTCTTCGAGTACAATAGGCGCTGCAAATTGGGCCTCGCTGTTACGAGGTTTATACGTTAGGAATGTTTCATACATTTACCAATTCATATTCGCTTTTATTATTCCGCGGATCCTACGTTTATGGTTGGCTTCAACGTGTTTTAGTAGCCTGGCTTCAACAACTGCTGTACCCTATTTAACTGAGCAGACTGCTCGTGTAAAAGAACTCGGTCCTGACTCATCATCATGTTCTTCCTGCGGTGGTGGGTGCGCAAACACTCAGCGGCGACATAACACCCGCAAAACACATTGTCACAGAACACATTTCCCCCCAGAATAAGCGCTTCGCTCACTAAAAACATGTACAAGAAATTAGCAGCCTATTTGGTCCTCAGATGGTTTTAAGCTGTATTTATGACGCTTCTGTTGATAATGACGCTGCTGGAACTTTGCTCAGTTTAAATAAACTATAAAGGAACTCTGTGGTGAAGACAATCCCCGGTGCCACGTAGATGAACTACTGTGCCTAGTTCGCGCCCGAAAGCCTAACTAGTTCGTCCGTCGTATCCATCTGTTGTGTGGGTATCCCTGTCGCCCACGTGACTATACGTTGGTACTTTTATCCACAAACTCTATAGTTTGGGGTTCATTGTTAGGCTTTTGGATTGCAATGCACTAATGAGTCTTAATCTAACGGTTTTCCAGTGCCACTCCTTTTATGCGTTAACAATGGGGCCTGGTCTACACGTGCTCCTTGATTCTTGATTTCTTCAACATCCACACTACTACTATACCTACTGCTATTCAACACCACTGAGGACGTACGAGAGGTGGACTTGTTTGCCACGCTAATTTTTCACGTATCCTATCTGTTTACAGCCCTTTGCGAAGCGGCCACCCATGGAGCTCGTCTGCAGTTGCGTAAGTGAACCTGTGCACCGATCATTGTTTTTGTCATGTTCTATCTACTCTTTCTGGATTGAACGAATGCCAAGACAGATTGAACTGGTGGTTTGACGCAATCAACACACTGCACACTTGGGTAGCTGGTGGTGGCTGAGTTGTCTACCTCATCAGAGTATAACTCACGGTTGATTGGTTGACAGCTCAATTGTCTGATTGGCTCTCGGTACGCGCTGGCATTGGGTGGCGTCCATACGATTTAGGTTGACCAACCGCATACAAAATTTTCGCCCCTACATAGTCCCAGGATAACGGGTAAAATTTGTAGTACCCTGTGACAAGCAGCACGAAGGTACAACGGTTCCGACTATGCGGTATTGCATACGCTTTGGTTAGTCGATTCTAGAACATCTTCATACGGGGTCCAAAAGACGGTGAACACGTTTGGCTGGATACACTTGCTGATATGGCAAGGAACCTACCTCAGTGGCGTTCCTGCTGTGAGTTTCTTTGTCCCTCCCCATCCCTTTAACCTCCCCCTCCATCTACGATCTTATTTCGTAGGGTAAAACGTAATTGAATTTTTGTTTTTGCCTAGTAGCCGGCTAGTAGCTTACCAGAACGATGCGTATCCGTTGCTGGTAGCTCAGCTGGCATTAACTGTCGTATTTATTTTTCCTTTATGTATTGTATGTAAGTATGTTTCCTTTATGTATTGCGGTACAATAGTGGTGTTTCCCCACCTCTAGCTGACAGGTATGATGATGATGATGATGATGATGATGATGATGATGATGATGATGATGATGATGATGATGATGATGATGATGATGATGATGATGATGATGATGATGATGATGATGATGATGATGATGATGATGATGATGATGATGATGATGATGATGATGATGATGATGATGATGATGATGATGATGATGATGATGATGATGATGATGATGATGATGATGATGATGATGATGATGATGATGATGATGATGATGATGATGATGATGATGATGATGATGATGATGATGATGATGATGATGATGATGATGATGATGATGATGATGATGATGATGATGATGATGATGATGATGATGATGATGATGATGATGATGATGATGATGATGATGATGATGATGATGATGATGATGATGATGATGATGATGATGATGATGATGATGATGATGATGATGATGATGATGATGATGATGATGATGATGATGATGATGATGATGATGATGATGATGATGATGATGATGATGATGATGATGATGATGATGATGATGATGAGGATGATGATGATGATGATGATGATGATGATGATGATGATGATGATGATGATGATGATGATGATGATGATGATGATGATGATGATGATGATGATGATGATGATGATGGTGATGATGATGATGATGATGATGATGATGACATCTTCATACAGAAAATTTGTCTTGCGGTCATGAGTTTCACTACCAAATCGTACCAGCTATCCTGTGTACAATGGTAATTTCAATTGATTGCCTAATGATTTCAGGCGCTGCCAGTCAATATCTTGCCTTACCGACCTCTCTGTGAACGAGACATTAATTGGCTTGTAACAATTGCAACCTAGTAACTGTGTATAAGTCAAGGAGGCAGCTGTTGACAATTTTGGGTTAGCTTAAGATTCGGCAGAGAAGCCAAACACGGTTGCCTCCTGTGACCATGTTCAACAAAGACATAACTGATATCATTCAAATGGCTTGGATGAAGAACAAACACTGACTTCAATATCTCAGATGGGTGAACAATTGGCCCCGAAAATGCGCACACCGTAGTTTTCAGAGTGTTGTAACCCAGCATCGCGTGCTTTCTGCCTGGCGTGCTCAATCCAAAACCAAAGAAATTCAAGATGCACTTGACTAGTTTCTTTGTTGATTGAAAACGATTGCATTTATTAGTCAAACATGCATCCCCGTGTGGACATCACGGCTTTTCAATTTTCCACACGACAAGAGGAAGGTGCACCCCTCCAGCAACGACCAACTGTCTCCTGGAGCCAGTATGGACGAGGTAGTGGGTAATGGACCGGTAGGCACCTTGTCAACATGCATATCACGCGCAGCCACACCGGGGATTTCAAGCAACAGCCAGTCATATGAAACGACGATATCAAATAAAATATATATGTTAAAGCATACGGCTATGCTGACATACACCTTCGCTAAATTAGCATATGAAATAACTTGATTAGCAACGCATTCGCACTAAGTACAAACTGTCCAGAATTTACTCAAAAATGCTACCAACGCAATAAAGTTAACGAACATAACCACAATTAGCGTAAGCAACGAGTGCAAGTTAACAGAACATCATTCAAGAAGCCAGAACATACCAACTACAGCGGAATGAATGTAACCAGTAAAAAAGGACCTAGTTTAAGTGTAGGCCGGTTTATCCCAACTGCGGTGAAGAAGCATCATGAATGCGACATCAGCCTCAGCACTAACCGTATTGAGAACATGCAACCCGTGTACAATACAATGTTAATCGCCGCGATCCGAACGGGCAGCCAAGCGCTCGTGACTACACTGTAATAGGTAGTGGTAATCTCAGCAGTCGATCAACTAGCCACAGAGCCAACATAAAACCATGGAGATCAGCGGATAAGGGACCGCCATCGCGTTATAATCATCGTGGCATGGTAGTTGAAGGTGATCCACACACTTCAGCTACTATGCCGCAGGAAGGAAGGATCCTTTTGACTAAAACTAAAACAATACATCTTTAGTTTGTTTTTCACACGCCGATTTTTCTCTTCTTTGTCATTTTCAATGTTTGTACTATTAAACCTGTGAATCAATACAATACTGTACACAATTCTTCCACTGATTCCTGTTGCGGGCCATGTCTTCAATAGTGTTAAGCCATTGGCACTCCTCATCTTTGGGTCCCCATCCTGGAAGACGTACGGATCCAACAGCAGCTAGACACTACGTCAGCGACTTCATGTGCTGTCGCCAAGTGGAAGGCTGACCTCCACGTGGTCACCTCCAGCCAGGTCCTTGACGAACGAATAGAGCGCGAAGCGGTAGACGCTCAGGTGCCATGTGTAGGAGGTGACCGAACCATCTCAATTGGCGCAACAAAACCAGTTTGTTGATGGGAATACTCGCATTCCCAAAGATGTGGTGTCGAACGTCATTACTGTTAACTCGATGTTGCCACCAAACACGAGCGACCCTCCTTAAACAACCGTTATCGAAGTCAGAAGGATGACGCATGTCTTCCACGCGAATCGGCCAGGACTCGCACCCATACAACAATACTGAACGAACTGATGCGCTGTAAACGCGGCCCTTTAGTGAGAATGAGACGTCACGACGACGCCACAAGTACCTCAAATTGACAAATGCTGATCGAGCTTTAGCGATACGAAGAGAAACTTCTTTGTTGATAGTGCCGTCATCAGAAACACAGCTCCCAAGGTAGACGAAACTATCTACCTGTTCAAGTTGTGCACCTTCGAGAGTGAGCACGAGAGCAGGTGAAAGCCAATCGCTATGCGGAAAGGCTGACATTCGGTCAGTGAAGAGTGATCAGTTCAAGGGCGAAGGATCAGTAAGATGTCTCACGAACGAGCGAAATACACAGAGTAATAAAGAACTCATATGCATAAGATTCAGTATCAATACAAGCTAAGCGTAAATGTGAGACAAACAGTAACACATATGCGACGAACTGTAAAAGAAGGCGGGATGAGTAGGGATAATTGAAGCAAACTGACGAACACCACGGGGAGTAGCGGATTTTTCTTACCAGCGCTAAAACACCAATCACAATAGCCGCCTCATGGTTTTACTCAATGGTGCCTCAGCGGCCTTGGCAGGCGATTAACAAGCATAAGACGGGCATGATCAAAGTAAGAGGAACTGTGCAAGTATGACAAGTACTCTGGGGCGGTATCACAAAGACTTGTTCCAACCACCAACGGATGGGTTTCAGGATTTCTCAGTCAGCGCTACAACTGAAAGTCAGCATTACGCTGCACGCATCGATACTAGCATACGATCATGTCTCTGACCAAGACCGAACTACTGGTCGTAACGCAGCAACTAACCTTTGGCTTTTGACTGAGAGGCCGACTTCATAGTTGATTTAAATTTTTTATAGCTGCAAGGGACTTTTGATCCTGAAAAATGAGCGCGGTAATCTCTCGGCAATTTGATCATCAGAGATGACACATAAATTTGAATAACTAAGCCGGTTAGCCACTATAAGCGCATCTCGTTGCTCACGTCATTTCATTCTTGCAATAGTCGCATGCATTTTGTGGGATCAAAGCACACCACGGAGGGTGCAGCACTCTGATTCGAGCATTGTGACAACGCTTCTAAAGAGACAGTCCTACCTCAAAAAAGCCACTCCACCTGCACCTACTAAAGTTAGCAGTCATTCAGTAGGCATAACTTTCGCTAAAGAAAAGGCTGATCTGACAACCCTTCTGTTAGGCATTACAAGCACAAATTTCTAGCAGAAAAAATATATGGGATGAACCCAATGCACCTTAACTTTCGGCGGAAACTGAAGGAAAACAGAGTCTTATAGATCAATGATATTCTGCCAGCTGGAAGTTCGGCACTATGGAACAGACAGGTGATCTACAGGGACTTCAGCCATCACATATCACCAGTCTGTCCGCTGAAGCTGCAAGCAGACAACCAGGAACATATGGGATGGAACTTCCAGTACACGATTGGTCAACTTATCATCAACCGTGTGCGGCCATCTTTGCAACGCAGTGAAATGCGAACGGTTTCCGCAGTGACAGAGACCAAGAGGCAGGTAACCCAGATAATTAAACGCTCGGGGCAAAAAGGAACTAACCACGAAACAATCACAAACAGCATTAGAAAGACATCGTCCCAAACGACCGTAGAATATAAGGTCAGTCCGTTTTGTAGTTAGGTGTTTGAAACGTTACATAGAATGTAGTTAATCTCAGCAGTCGCAATGGAGAGTCCAGAATGGACATA